TGATCTCCAGATGATCTTAATAAAAAAAGAAATTATTGATAAGACAAATTTTGCATTGTCTGGATGGGATATTGTTGTTTACAAAAAAAGTTCTATTCTTGCTTTAGTTGGAACTTTGCTTACCTACTCATTGCTGACAACAGATTATATCTTTAACAGGCAATAATTATGAAGAATATACTGAAGAATATGACTCTTGTGTTCAAAATTAATGGAATTTGTGCATGTTTCGATAATTTCGGGAGATACTGAACTAAAGGTTTAACTAATGGTTTCAAACAAAGTTGCAAATCTCTATATGTAGCAGTGTGTTTGCGGAGAATGTAGCTTTATACTTACCTTGATATTTTTTAGATTGTTTACTTTTACATATTGCTGAATTTTGTTACCAATTTTTTTTTGTAACATTCTGTGAGATGGAAAAGCAAACTGTTAAAAACCATAATCACCAATGCTTGGATGTTAGGAGCAGGAAGCAAGACAGTATCAAGTATAAGTTTCTTGAATCTGAAATGTGGTCTTAGCAGGCATCCATGTCTTTATAAGTCATTATTGGTCATTATTGGATTTTGTTTCAGTATTTTATATATGTAAACGAATTTCGTCAAGTATTTTTTAGAACATTCTGCGAAATTACAAAGCAATCTGTGAAAAACAATAACCACCAACTTTTCGATGTTGTGGTGAATAGCATGTATGCAGAAAGCAAGCAGACTCAAATGAAGATTTCTTGAAACTGAAATATGGTCTGGGAAAGCATAATTTTGAATGTATGTATATACATCCTTGTGTTTATATGAATCCATTTAACTGCTAGAAATTATAGAGATGAGAACTAAAGGCCATTATTGGCTTTTTCAGAGATGTTGGTAGCAACAGCTATGTAGTTTTTGACCGCCAAGTTGTAGTTGTAGACTGCAACTATTAGAAAATATTATTATTGACTTGTTTTTAAATATATTTTTTATTTTTTTAATATTTTTGTTAAGTATTTGTAAGAGAATTTGGTTAATTATTTTTTCAAACATTCTGTGAAATTCAAAAGCAATTAATTAAAAAAAAAAACCCACCAGCGTTTGAATGTTGTGGCGAATAGCAGTTATGTGCAGATTTCTTGAAGCTGATATGTGGTCTAAGCAGGCCTCATGCTGGATGTATGTACACTTCTAAGATACTCTGTTACTACTAGATAATATAGAGATGAGATCTAAAGGCCATTATTAGCTTCTTTAAAGATGCAGTTGCTCTTAATTCTATTTTAATGGGTGACAACGTACTTTACTCAGAATATTTATTGGATGGTTCTTATAAATTCAAATCATGGCCGCTGGTAAAGGCCTGGTCAAGATCATCTTAGAGGCATGACAGCAAAGGAAGTTAGACTCATACATTACAGCATTTGCATGTCTGCTCTTTTATGATATTTTTGTGGCTATAAGAAACCAAATTTCAATGATTATTGTTCCAGAAGATTAAACAAGGAAGATTTTGATAAAATCTATTTGCATTCTGGGCACTTGAGTGCATATTTAGCACGGGTTTATAATTATTGATTGATTGGTTAAAAATGCACCTATATCAAATATGTCGAACTTGGTCCGACGTTATTTCTTTACAATCGTGTTCGAAGCTCCTATTCTTTAACAATGCGCTGCCTTAAAATTCCTAAAGGTATTGCTAAAATTACCAAAATCCCATTAAAGAGATGTTTTTAGTAAAGGAAACAACACAAAATTTCAATAGAGCTTTGTTTACAGGAAATGACAAAAACAATTTCTCTATATTGTTTCTATTTTTCAAAAGAAAAAACCTATTGCTCGTTTTAAATTAATTAAATTTCATTAAAAAATATAGCTTTTATTAAAAAAGAATTTAGCTTCTCCTAAATGGAATATTACAGTCTCTTTGAAATCAGTATAATTTAAGTGATACTCAAAATTTGCATTTTTAAATCACTAAGAATGAATATATATACAAGATCCCACTTTCAAAATGCTGTAAAAAAGAATGAAATTCGTCACAATGAGTTGAAATTGGAACTGAAGATACTTGAAGAAAGGTGAAAACGGTACGGCATCAAAAAGCAGTTCCAAAGTGAATTAATGGCGCTGTAAGCGACATAAAGTGAATTATGCTGCCAGTGATATATTTAATCGAAATTACAAAGAATTCGACATGAGTTGCACATTACACCAACTGTAGTATTCCATGTGCTTGACTGTTTCGGGTTTTAGAAGGAAAAAAAGACGTTCAAGTCCTTCAACAGTTGTAACACTGTCAGTGGAAAACCCATCCACCACGGCCAGGTCATACCAAATTGGATAGGATAAATCGGTTTGATGACATGCCCTTTCTCAATTCTTTCAGTCTCTAGAGTTCAAATTTGAACCCATTGGGACGAGCGGTTATTTTTTATACAGCATTTTGAAATTTGGACTTTGTTTATAATCCCCCTGTATATGAATGTATATCTATATCTATATATCTATCTACATATATACACTCAAGAGCCAAAACACTATGACCGCCCCTACATTTTGCAATGAACTCGCCTGGATGACGTGGTATGCACGTGATCAGGTGGAAGTGGTATTTAACTGGTATTAAGTGGTGGTGTTAATCCATACCAAGGCGAGTTGAAGCTGTGTTGCGCGCCAAAGGTGGGACATTGACAGGTGGTCATAATGTTTTGGCTCTTGAGTGTATATATATATTCTGGGATTAATTTCGTAATAAAATCAAAGAATATTTCATTCATTTTCTTACTATTTAGTTCTTAAAATATGAATGATGCATCAAAAAGAAAAAGAAAACAAGGGCATAGGAGAAAGAAGCCTTCATATTTATACAACTTTTATTATGTCACTTTGCTATTTTATTTCATTCAACGCTCCCTTCTTACATTTATCTAAAACCAACAAGAATATTCTAAAAAAAGAAAATAATTTATTCTAGTTTTCTATTTAAACAATTCATTATTTAGCTGCATGTGAAAAGAATTTGTTTTTCCAAAAGAGAGAAAAAAAAATTTTACGAATCATTTTCTGTTTGCCATTTATCAGGCGTTATAAATATAATAGAGCCATTTTACATCAAGTCGAATATACGAATGGTAGATCTAGTTAATGTAATAAGTCGAAACAAAACCTAATCAGTAAAAATAACATTTGAAAACTCTAAGCGTAGAAATAATTATTGATTAAACTTATCAATGCAAATTGTTCTTATTCAATAGAGCGAGAGAGAGGTACTATTTATACTTCGGTCAACCAATGTGTCAAATGGAATTCAGAATTAGGCCATTTCAAATTTAAGTTGTCCCTTGCCTTCCTTCTAAGCTCTGAATTCATAGAAGAATCTAATAAAAATTTAAACTATTGATTTGGCTTTCCTGTTATTTTCTTCCGTTAATATTTTCGTTACAATCTGCGGAGAGTTTCATGGTAAGTCATGTACTCGAAGATATACTAGTGTCCCTCTTCAGCCATGCTTCTAACCAAGCCATATGGTTTTGTATGCGGTACAATAAAAAACAACTCTCGAGTTCTATGCGGATGATGCATGATACTCATTTGCCAATATTTAAGTTCTCAATATGTTTTTCAATATTTATTAGTTTTAATAATACCGGCCTGAATGAATGGCCGAGTGGCTAGCGCTCTGGAGCTCGGTACCACAGGTTGCGGGTTCGAGTCCCGGGGGTCCCATGGTTGTTTGTAGTGGTTCGGAATCGACTTTAAAAAGTAGGTCCCGGTCTAATAGGAGCGTTTAGGGGGCATTGTTACTCCGCGTCCGTGGCTTATCTTCAAGTTACACACGCCCCCTGGGTAATGCAAAGTGAGTACGTCTGTGCAGCACTTGCCTTAAGGCGTCCAAGACCAAGCTGTATGTGTTTGCCAGCTGCATTAGAAAGAAAAAAAAATAATACTCCTTTTTTATCTGGAATTTTGTGTTTATATGATTGTGATATTACTACGCATTAGACAAGATACACTTTGGTAAATTGTATTGCACAAATAACATTAATAATCTCTATTACGTGGATTTATTTTCTTACAGAACTTACATTCCCTAGTTTAATAACACTTCTGTTTGTATCTGCTGTGTTCTAGATTTATAAATAATCTGACAAATGAAATAGAAATATCTTCTCTACAGCAATATGGGTCATCTGTTCAATTTGACATTCTTAGGTGAAAATCAAAAATTGAAAGATATTATGAAAAATTAATTTTTTTATTTCCAATGGCAAAAGTAATAAATACAAAAAGGGAAAAAATACAGATAAAAAAAGAAAGCTTACACAAAAGAGTCAACAAAGTTGAACGAAGTAATTATCGTAAAAGTTCTCAAGCTTGCCAGTATCTCGCCAACTGAGTTCAGGTCAAATCCAACAAAACATTTATTAAAAATTTTAAAAAATGTTAAAAATTGTATGTAATTATGATAATGTTTCATTGTATGCCCTAGTACACTCAGAATATTTTAACAGAGTAAATGTATATTAAATCAAGTAAAAATGATTTTTGCAGTAAATAAACTCTTCTGACATCCGAAATTATGTGCTTATTGAAAATGAAGCAAGGAAACAACTTTTATTTTTCTGTAATATTTTTTTTTTATAATTTAAATAAAAAAATTTTACAGTTCTGTTCAAATGTAGGTCAATTAAAATTCCAACAGCGAATCTGAAAATTCAGAAGAAGTTTGTTGTTGTTGTTTCTTATCCCTTTTGGCTGGCCACGCCCACGAGATCATACGTACTCATGATTGAAGGGGAAGGAAGCAGCTTCTGTTGTGATGGAGCACCCGTAGGTAGAAGTCTGACTTTGGCTCCGTGACGCTCTTACAGTCATAGGAGACCGGGACCTACGGCTTAAAGTGGATTCCAAACCACTACAAACATCCATGGCACCACCGGGATTCGAACTCGAAACCTGTGGCACCGAGCGCCAGAGCGCTAGACACTCGGCCATTCAGGTCCCAAATTTGTGAATGCCAACGGCACGCGGTGTTCCCAGGTGGTCACCCACCCAAGTACTGGCCGCGCCCAATGATGCTTCACTTAGGTGATCTAAAGAAGAAGTTTAAAAGCATTAACTAAATTATAATTGAAATTAAAACAATAAAAAAGCTAATAAGTACTTGTTACTTTCAAATAACATAATAAAAACAATAAATTATTTTTACAGTAAAAATATTCTAAACTTGCCAATAAATATTAATATCAAAGATTAATAATGTTAATAATCAAACATCATTTTACAGTAAACAATCGCAAAGGAAATCGCCATTTAAAAATGAACTATTTTATTATAATAACCTCTCCATCAATTGAATCATCAAATTAGACGCTAAATTTTTTTATATTTTAACCAAGCAATATCTATAACAATCCTAAAAACTTCCTCAAGAAAAAACTTAAAATAAACAAAGTAAACTGGAATTATATATAAATATTACTATTTAATTAAATAAAAGTTAAAAATTCTTGTATACAGAATCGTTATCAGACCAATTGTTTTGCATGGCTCTAAGACATGAACAATGAGAAAGTGGGATGAAGAGTTATTGAGAGTTTGAGAAAGAAAGATTGTAAGAAAGCAGTATATGGAAATGGCGAAAGGGGGAACTAGAACAAATAAAGAAACACAGGATATTTTTAAGGAATTAGATATTGTAACGGAGATAATGAGAAGGAGAATTCAATAGCTAGGTCTTGTAGAGAAAATGGAGTTAAACAGAACAACAGGAAGTTTCCTTAAGTAAAGCCCTAGCGGACCTTGACACAGAGAAAGACCAAGAATTACACTCAAGAGCCAAAACATTATGACCACCCCTACATTTTGCAATGAACTCGCCTGGATGACGTGCAAGGCACGTGATCAAGTGGAAGTGGTATTTAACTGGTATTAAGTGGTGGTATTAATCCATGCCAAGGCGGGTTGAAGTTGTGTTGCCGCCAAAGGTGGGCCAACTCGTTGTTGACTTGAGGTGGTCATAATGTTTCGGCTCTTGAGTGTAGATGGACCCATCAAGTCGAGGAGGAAAGAAAGACGTTCAGTGTTGCTAACTGGTAACAAAGGCAACTAGTGGTGTGGAAAGGCAAAGACTCTTGAAGGAAGTAAGTGCTCTTCGAGGGCTGTAGCCCCAATAACGATGATGGTGGTAAAGATGGCTATTTAATTAAACGTAAACAAGTGCTTAGAGATATACAAAAAACCATTACATTATAAAGAGGGAATAGGGAGAAAGAGAATTCAATAGTTGGGTCATGTAGAGGGAATGAAGTTAAACCGAACAACAAGAAGACACCTTAAAGTCCCAGTGGATCTAGACTCGGAGTAAGACCAAGAAATAGGTGGGCACATCAAGTCGAGGAGGACATGGCGACACTCAGGAAACCAAGGCAACTAGTTTTGTGGAATGGCAAAAATTTTGATGGAAGTCAGGGCCTTTTAAGGTTTGTATCACCAATAATGATAATATGATAATGATGGCTATTTAATTAAATGTTTACAAGTGCTTAGAGATATACAAAAAACCATTACATTATAAAGGGGGATAGGCAGAAGGAGAATTCAATGGTTGGGTCATGTAGAGAGAATGAAGTTAAACCGAACAACAAGAAGACACCTTAAGTAAAGACCTAGCGGATCTTGACACAGAAGAAGGCCAAGAATTAGATAGGCAGATCAAGTCGAGGAAAACAAGAAGACTCAGTGCTAATTGGTAACAAAGGCAACTAGTGGTGTGTAAAGGCAAAAAAATAAAAAGAAAAATTGAAGGTCAATGTCCTTCAAGGGCCATATCACCAATGATGATGACTATGTAATTAAATGTAAATAAGTACTTAGAAATATACAAAAACCATTACATTATAAGGGGGGGGGATGGGGTGATGGGGTTATTTATTACAGATTGTTTTATTGTTAATTGTTTTATTCTATGCCCAGATCACCAGCCATTGACATTGGCTCAGGATTTTGAATTTGATTTGCCCGTAATCAAGTCGAAAATATTTTAATTTTTGCCAAAAAATGTCTTACTTTTTAAACCATTAGTTTGCTTCTCAGAAAAAATAGCACTTGTTTCAAAAATGCTTTAAGTTGGTCCAATAAATTTTTTCAATCGTATTTAAAAAAAAACACTACTTTATTTGTACAGCTAATCTACATATCCCAAACTATCTTGCAAATATCACTAAAATTACGAAGATTCCATTTATACATAATATTTTAAGAAGTTTTGATGAATTATTTAACATTTATTTATAGAAATCACTATATTGATTAGCGTAATTCAGAACAAACTAAATTAATTATCTAAACTATTATTAGTAATCAAGTAAAGTTTAAATCAACAGTTTTCGAAATATATTCATTTTGATAGTAAATTGCTCATGCTAATACGTAACTACATGCATTTATTATAAAAGAATAATTTTAATTAATTGTCTTTGAAATGAAAACGATTGAATTCTTGGATTGAACGCAAACAACATGAAAATAAATTAATGATCAATGCGAGAAATACTGATCAATATTTTAGAAATGTATTCATTAAATAAACGTTACAAGACTTCGTGATGTTTATTTCACATTATGTATGTATTTCATAAGTTAATGGGAAATTTTGACTCTTAGTTATTTTACAATTCAAAGCGCAGCTATGAATTTAAAATCGTAACATAAAATTAAGAAAAGAGAAAAACGTAAAGAAAGAAGCTTTCATATTGAAAAATAATGTATTACTTTACTATGTTAATATTTTTTTCTATTTACATTTGTATGAAATCAACTAAAGTCAAATAGGAATATTCTAAAAATGTTCTTTATTTGTAACAGAACAATAATTATTCAACTTTGCGTGCTAGGAGAACATATTTTCCGATTCACAATAATCATATTTTTTTCAAAAAAAGTTCTACATTAGAATGAATGTAAAGAAAAACAACAATGGAAAATTTGAAATATAAAGGTATCCAGTCAGAATATAATTAAAAGATTATAAATCCAGTTTATATTTCTCCAAAAGACAGAGAGAGATAGAGAGAAAAAGTAAAAGGGACAAAGATGCCAACTTTACGACACTCTAACAGTGTATCAAACTTTAATTCAGAATTACAGCATTTCAAGTATAAATTGCCAAGATTATTCCTTGTCTTTCTCCGGTGGGCTGGATTCGTCGAAGAATCGGATAGAAATTGCAAAAGCAGATTGATTTGGATCTTCTTTTATGTTCTTCATCTGTTTCCGTCTGCATTCATAGTTGCGATATTTTTCATGGGAAGACAAGCATTTGAAAAAAAACTAGCATCTATCACGAGTCTGGCCTGCAATCAAGTCATCTGGTATTGCTTGCGATATAAGAGGAAATCACTCACGGCTCTTCTACGGAAGATGCAAGCAAATCATTTGCCGCTGTATAGATTAAGAGTAAACCTTTCGATATTTGTTATTCTATGTATGCCCATTATACGTATGATTGCACAAATCTATATAAGATCAATGTTTTTGTGGTATCACAATTTGAGAGCAATTATCGAATATTTTGTGTTAGAGATCATCATCGCTAATTGCATTATTTTTTTTGCAGACCTTATGCTGCCCTGTTTAGTAGCTCTTCTGTATTGTTCCTTGTGTTTTCGGTGTTCTAAATTCATAGATAATCTCACAGAGGAAATTGAAAATATTTCACCACAGCAATTTGGACTATGTTTACAATTCGACATTCTTAAGCGCAAATCGAAGGTTGACGATATTTTGGGAGATTTAGAAAATATATTTTCCAAGCCGTCTTTATTTCTGATTGCGTTGAACTTTGTAACATGCGTTTATCATTTGGGAACCATTCTGGTTGTCTCCTGGAGATATCGACTAATAGTATTTGAGGCTTTATTTAATAGTGTCGTCCACTTCATCTGCGTGACAGCCGTATTTTGGTCCGCTGGCAGTGTTCCAGTGGCTTTGAATAAGTTGAACCGAACTTTCTGCGAGAAGGCCAATTCTCGACTGCTACTTTTCCGTACTTCGGAAGGACGTAAGCTGAAGAGGGAATTATTTGAGAAACCAGAATTTGTATTAACCGGATGGGATGTTATTGTTTACAGAAGAAGCTCAATTCTGACTTTTGTAGGAACTTTGCTTACATACTCAATAATCACTATGGATATTAAATGTAAAAACCAAGAATGAAGCAATTATTTCAAAGACAAGTACCGTTTTCATGTGCTAAGCAGTTGATTGAATATTCATGGATTGGCTTATATGCAATTTCTCTATGCTACTATCGTGTCTAGTTTAATATATAGAAAAATAGGTTGGTAATTTTCTACGGCATTTGAACCATTTCATACCAAATCTAAATATCTACATGGATTTTTTCGTTTCATGAATGGATTTCTTGTTATTCTACCGAGAATTTCTCGTATTATGGATGAATCTCTCGTTGTTCTACATGGAATTTCTCGTTTTATGGATGGATTTCCTGCCCTATATGGAATGTTTCGTTTTATAGATAAATTTCTTGTTATACAGGGAATTTCTCGTTTTATGGATGGCTATTATAAATGGATTTTCTCATTTTATGGATGGATTTCTTGTTATAGAACATGGAATTTCCCTTTTATGGATGGATTTCTTGTTGTACATGGAATTTCTCGTTTGTAAAATTATACTATTACAGAAGGTAATAGTAGTTCAGAAAGTAGCTCAAATAGATTAAGAAGCTTTTATAAGAAGGGGAATAATATAGTGAGTTTTTGTAGATTTATATATGTGACGGTAGAAAGATTTTTTTGTAAATATCTAATAGCAAAGATTTTGTAACATTTTATCTTCTACCAATTATATAATTTCTTGATCCTTGAAACCAGACACAGCAAATAGTTGATTGCTTACGAGTTGCATGAAATGGCTTCATAATAATTTGTCAGCAAATAAATTCATTTATATATTTGTTTATTCCATCTGTTTTATTTATTTATTTGTATATATTATTTGTTTATAATATTTGTATATATTATTTGTTTTTGTTTTTATTTGTTTATATTTATTTTTTTGTGTGTTTTTAACGATA